AAGATAAAAAAAAAAAAAAAAAAAAAAAAAAAAAGATTAAAAAAAAAAGATAAAAACATGAAAACAGAAAAAAAAACAACTCCGAAATCAAAACAGAATTTAGAGAAAGTGTAAGTATGAGGAGGAGGAGATGAAACCTTAACAGAGAGAATTTTAGGAGATGCTGGGGAATTTAAAAAGAGGAGAGAAAGAAAAGTCGACGGATGTCTAATGCATAAAGATACATTTCGTGGTGACATATACACACCATAGACAATTAAGATAGGAGGAAAAAAAAAAAAAAAAAAGAATAGAAGAGGTGGGGGAGAGAGATGGGATGAAGGAAAATAAAATTGTGTTAACAAAAAGGGCCGCTTTGTAATTGAGAAAATTAGTATCGACTACAGGTTAGAAATCAAATATAAATATATGAAGATGAATATCTTGATTGTCTAATTTAGCAAGGACCAAATATTTCTATGTTCAAAACACATACTAATACACACAAAAACATATACAAGTAGGTACATACACTTAGGCATGTACTCACACACACACACACACCCCCAGACATACGTGTACATACACATACATATATAAGACCTAAAAATATATTCACATATCCACACATACACATATTCATATACACACTTTCGAGATACATATGCCCCCATGCATATATTCATACATACACACCCTTACACATGTGTATATATATATATATATATATATATATACACACATGCAAATACATACACACCCTTACATATGTATATATACACATACACACACATAAACATGTATATACATAAGTACACATACACACCTATACATACATACATAAACACCTCCATACGTACATATATACACACTTACATACATACACACACACACACATACATACACACATACATATACATACAAATATACACATACATACATATAAATACACACACAGAGATACACATATGTACATATATATAAAAAGTTAAAATCTAAATAAGTGACGATTCAAATATTTGCGCGTGTATGAAAAAGTAAAAAAAAAAAAAAAAAAAAAAAAAAAAAAGTGAAAAGTTTGTACAATTTAGCCGATTTGTTATTAAGTCGATCTATAATTTCAGATTATAATTTTTAAAGCTTCTTACAAACTAACAAACACCATTATATAAAAAATATAATTTGTGTCCATAAAATGACTGTAATTCTCATCTACAGAAGACTAGAAGTATCATGAATGCAATAAAAAATGTCATGTGGATTGAGTTTCTGTCTAGTTCTCCACTGCTTATGGCTTTATTTTTGCAAATTGTCCATGTGAAACACATATGGAGTATTTCAGTTTCTGTTTTTATTTAAAAAGAAAACATTTAAGACAATGTCGGCTGCTAAGTGTTGTTGACATCACCTGGGTCACAAGGTGTTAAAAACAAAAAACACATCAAGCCATTGTTCAAAATTAGGTTAAAAAAAAAAAAAAAAAAAACAAAAACAAACAAAAACATATCAAGCCATTATTACAAATATTGCCCCTTTTTCTTCACTCTTATCTTGTAAGTGGTGGAATTTACAAGCTGATGAGAGCTTGTTCTATCGCTGACTGGCTGGCCTTTGACCCAGACATGTCAAAATCAATTTGGTTTAAATTTCCTTATTGCTGCTTTAAAAAAAAAAAAAAAAAAAAATTATCATGGCAGATCTGAATTGACTTTATTTAAGTTGGGGGTGCTATAGGAGCCATCAAACAGCTGCGCAGCACTTGTATTTAAAATTTTTTTTTATAGTATTTATAATTTCTCCATATAATATCAACAAACTTATGGTGAAAGCTACACACTAAAAAACAAGATAAAAAAAGAAACTGGAATGTTGAAAGTTTTTTTTTTTTTTTTTTTACTTTAATAATTACAAGGTACTGCATAAGCTGGTTCACTTAAAAATGTCAATTCTGTCCTCCCATATGATAACTTGAATCTCAAGTTAGCTGTTAATACGTGATTAATATCATCATCCAGCACTTGTCAATCGCTAACGGTGTTAAGATTGGCTCCTTTTTATTTTTAAGAAAAATGCAAAAAATTCTTTCAAAATATATTAAATAAACTTTAAATTTTCTAATTTTCTTCAAATAAATTTTGAAAAACATATAATTGATTTTTGTACAAGTTTTAAACGAGGAATTTAACTTAGTTCACAAAATTTAAAAAAATGGCTGACATGAGTTTTTTTTTAGTAATTTCGCTGCCCCAAAAAATAACTAAAATTTCGGACATGCTAAAAATGAGTAAAAAATTTCAAAAAAATAATTAAAAAATACTGGTATTTCTTCTTAAGAATGAAATATATATTTAAGATGAAAAAAAAATTTTTCATCAAGTTTCAGGCTGTTCTTGTCATGTTATCGATTTTCATGAAGGTACCTATAGTTTGACCCTCATATGTCATAACTGACAGGAGAGTCCTGACCAATATATGTATGAATGACTAAGGAGTTAAATAGTTTTTGTTTTAAGTTATAAATATTCTTTGTCAAATGAAAAATGATAAAGTGGAAGCTAGGATACTCACTTGTGTATTTTTGCTCTCTCCATGAACAGTGTGGTAGTCAATAGAGATTCTCTGAATCAGATTTATAAACCTGGATGTCTGCGAAGTGGACAATGGATCCCAAACATCGGCAGCAAAAACTAGAAACAAAACAAAGAACAATGTAGACCTTGTATTAACAAATTGAACAGAGAAAAGATAGAAATTTTTTTTAATAATATATCTTCTGAATAGAGAGGAAAATAAATTGTGCATGGATTGAACTGAAATTTTGATGCCCAGGAAAGTGATAAACTTATTGTTACTGCAGTTAAGAGAACAAAATCAAAACATTATTTTAACATCAAGCTGATGAATAAAGTTATCACAGACATAACAATCAGAGTTACTCAATCTTTTTGTTATGACCAAGGCATTAGCATGATTTACAGTCACCCAAGTGCAATGTGACCATTTACCTTTTTACCAACAAATTATAATATGTAATTGACCATATATTCTGTTATTGCAATAGGGAGGCACTGTCTGGGAGATGAGTTTCTGGGAATGAGCACCCTGATATTAGTGCGCTTCTATTGTTCCTAGTCAACTAGCAGAGGGGGTATTTTGGAAATCCTAATTACATTGTGGAAAAAAGAATTCAAATTATGTTCACTGCACTAATGCCTTTTGGAAAGGCATGAACTAAACTCTTTTTCTCACTCTCAGTTATGAGTTTTGTTGTCTGAACAAAATAAAAATTGTTAACAATTCTTCCCAAAAATAATAAATATATCATCTTTATCAACCACTTTTTTAAAATTAAATTTAAGAAAGTTAGAGATTTAAAAAAAAAAAAAAAAAAAAAAAAAAAAAAATCAACCACACTAACTTTTTGGTTTCATTATTAAACACTTTTACCATTAATTTTTTTTTCACTTATACAGGTGCTAGGTTAATTTATGAATAATGAAAAGAAAACAAAAAAAATTCCATTGAATTTTGAAGCCAGCAGCCAATATTTTCTGAATTTATTTGTCAATTGGTAAATAAAAAACAACATTTGATGTTTGATCATCTTGTCAGATTTTGGGAAGTGGTTCAGGCCCAAATCCTTTTCAGCATCTCCTTGTATTCTATGTTCTTGAAATAACATTCTATCATTACACAGTGTGTACATAATATTTTTTTAAATTGTTTAAATTATGAGAATGAAAATCATTTTCCAGTTTTTGTTTTTTTTTGTTCATCAGTGTTGAAAATATGTCTTCTCTTTTGTTCATGTATTAAAAAAAAGAGCAACATTAAAAAGCAAAGTAAATGAAGATAAAAACTTTAAAAGGCATGTGAAGAGCAACAAGACTGGACAGTGGTCAAAATGTAAACATAACTGAAATTTCCAACAGACAGATAACATGGATGACATGTGCAGCTGTAATCATGAGATCATTAATGGAAACAAACATGTATTTTTAGATTCAAATTAGTTTTGGCATTTTCTAATTGTTAATATTTAGTCTTATTATTTTTGGCAATGTAAAAAAAATAAAAAAGTATTATGTACACAACCGTAAAACTTTTCGTCAACGTGTACAGGTGAATTTTGTCCATTGGAAAGTCATATGTTATTAAGTCACGTTCTGTTAATAATCTGTTCTGTGAGTAATATTAATGTTATAGTACTTAGTGCTGACACAATTATAGTAATTCTGCTTGATTACTTTTTTTTTTGCAGATACATGCTTGCCACTATAAACTAATTGCAGAGAGAATAGTGTTCTTTCTTTGTACTTACTTGTGAACTTTGTTTATAAATAAAACATATCAACAAAACTGTACCAGACAAAATTCACTTGAAAACAGCGAAATTCTGAAGCAGTTTGTAACTGCACATTTAGAGTAGACAGAGTAAGATTCTAGTTGGTCAAACCTCTGGGTCAGAGACTGCCCAGGACATATCACCCAATCCGTCTAACTTTCATCTTTTCCATGCAGGAAACTATTTGACAAAAAACAATATCATTTTCTAGCTCCATATAATTAGTGTGTACAATTGGAACCCTTGGTGGAGGAAAGTTGAGAGAGACTATCTGATTAAATGGCCATACATAGTCATCAACTTCATCTTTAAATCAATGATCCTTACAAGATCACAACAAAATCAAAAGGTGAAAACACCATACAGCAGATCCTTAAAAAAGAAAAAAAAAAAAAAAAAAAAAAAAAAAAAAAAAAAACCAAAAAACTAAAAGTACATCATGAAGAAGTGGAGACATGGTGAAATTAGCTGTTAAAAAAAAAAAAAAAAAAAAAAAAAAAAAAAAAAAAAAAAAAGGAAAGTGTAAATCATAAGTGGGTAATTTTTTTTTAATTGATCCTTATCAAAGAGAATCATTAATAAGTTTAAAATATTAACCTATAAAACAGATTATCCAATAAAAATGAAGTAAAATGGTTTAAAAGAAAACTGTGATTGAAAAAAAAAAAAAAAAAAAACTAACACTAACGATAGTCAAGTTATGCTGGGTAACTCATTTACACCATGGAGTAAAAAAAGAAGTCCTGTTTGGAGGGGAGGAAAAAACAAAAAACAACACAAGTACAAGGCCACATCCTTGGAACATTCATCACTAGCAATGAATTGTGAGATCAAGAATCTTAATTATGTGAATTCATTTTTACAAATGGTCTTAAAGTGATAGTCAAATGGGAAAAAAAATCACTGTATTGGCTGTTCAGTTGATTTAAACTTTTGGAAATTATGACATGAAGTATTTTCTTCTGGTGAATTATTCAGACTAAAATCCTCATCTTTGTTGTTTTGATCACTATGATTCAGCCAACAGACTCCAGTCTTCCTTAGATATTTTGAATGTAATAGTCTGGTGTTATATATATGCATGTATGTGTGTGTTTGCTTCACATTATTGCACACTATTGTGTGTGTTATTTCACTTCTGAGTAACCAAAGTGAACCATATTCCATTAGAATTTGACCAAGTAATAATGTTAATATTTATATCTGTGCGGTTTGAAATGAAATTATGTAAATATTATGTAAAATAATGACCAATTAAATCGAATGTAAATTAATAACAAAATTGCTCAAAGCCAAGAGAGAAATTCAGTTTTTTCAAATGACAACAATGGAAATATTTTAATGTAATTAGCAAGAATAAACATATGCAAAAATTTCTTTCATATCCAAATGAAAAACTCACAATCAAAGTCTAGAAACTTATTTTGGAAGAGCAGAATTCAGAAAACTAATTAATCCACTATTTATTAAAAGAACTACATCTAACCACGAGAAGAAAATAGATATTTGTCATTTTTAGAATCATTTTTGACAATTGAGTAGAACTGAATTTCATTAACTGGTTTGGGCCCTCATAGTGTTTCTTTAAGTAAATTTGTTGGCACTAATTGTTGACAAATTTGGATTATAGAAGTTGTGAATATTTAGTGCCTTACTCTAATAAACTTTGGTCAATAACCAATTGGTTGCTACCAAAACAAGTGAAAATGACACCATAAAACATACTTGGTATTAAATGAGAAAGTTAAAAAAAAAAAAAAAAGTTGTCACCTTATATTGTTTGATAGTATGACTTATGTTTTTGTTTAATTAAAGGAATTCTTATACATAAAAATTAAACAAAATCTGAATATTTGTCAGCAGTTTATGTTAGAATAGAAAATAAAAAACAAGAAATGAGGAAGACAGTCATCTCCAACTTTAGTGCAAATACACAAAACAGTTATGGACAAAATTATTCACCCCCACTAAATATTTGTATATTTTCTAAGAAAATGTAAATATTTGCAAGTCCTTAGATAGTTGATTCTGTATTTAGTTTTGAATAATTCGTGAAATTAAAAAAAAAAAAAAAAAAAAAAAAAATTATCTCCTATTCATAGATTTTTCTAAAATTTGGTGCAGTCCAAAATTTGCGTCCCCCCTCATGGAAATTATGAAACAATATGAATTAATATTGCTTTGTGGCAACTGTAATGTTTTTTTTTTTCTTCTTAATTTGTCATTTAATACAAACACTCTTTGAAAATGAAATAGCATTGACCTAATTCTATAACACCGTAAAAGGCGATAAAGAAGACAATATGCGAGTACCACATGCCACACTCATTTGTTGTGCAACCATGGGAAAAATGGCAGAACTTGACAAGAAGCTGTTAATGAAGATAGTTGATGTGTACAAACAAGGTGATGGAAATACAACACTTTCCAAGTGTTTAAATATACCTAGATGGATAATTCGTGGCATTATCAAGTAGTACAATGAAACTAATTGTGTTGAGAATGAATTAAGGACTGGCAGAAAATGGTTAATTTTTGAGACAATGGAAAGGAAAATTGTTAGAGATGTCTCAAAGAATCCTTGCTTAATGATAAAGGACATTGTCAATAATGTAAAAACATCAGGGTTGAATGTATCAATGAAGACAGTCATTAGATGCTTTCTTTTGAGTAGAATCTTGAGCTTGTTGCTAAAGAAAACTCCCTTGCTTAAGGTTAAACACACAAAATACAAGTTAGCTTATGCTAGCAGCCATCTAGAACATGGGAGTAAATATTGGAACTCTGTTTTATGGTCAAATGAAACCAAACTAGGATTATTTGGTTACATGAACTTCCGTTATGCATGGAGGAAAATGAATAAAGCTCACAAACTAAAAAATTCCCTCCTTTCAATTAAGCACAGTAGTAGGCACATACTACTCTGGGGATGTTTTGCTGATCCTGGACCAAGAGAACTAGTGAGTGTACAGGGTATCATGGATAAAGAGCAGTATTTGGCTATTCTTACAACACAAAGTGCACGAAAACAGTCTTTGGAGCGTCACTGGACATTTCAACAAGACAATGACCCAAAACAAAGCACAAATTGTTACAAAATATTTAGATGACAACAAAATTAAGATATTAGAGTACCCCCCACACAAAGTCATGACCTAAACCCCCATTGAAAATTTATGGGCATATTTGAAGAAAAAAAACCAGAGAAAGAAGTCCTTCGAATTTGGAGGAACTAGAATCTATTCCCGAGGAAGAATGGAGCAAAATACTTATCAGTGTGTGTAGTGATCGTGTAAGGAACTATCAAAAAAGACTAAAGGCAATAATCAAGAATAAAGGTTATAGAATTGATTGAGGCAAGAGGGCCAATAATTTTGGCCTTTGTTGGTATTTTTATTGCCTGACATTAAAAATAATTTTTTTTTTTTGTGGGGATCACTGCACATTTGTTCAGATCCATTATTTAATCATTTGTGAAAAAATCCACATAAATTCTCCATGAAAATTTGAGGTATTACAGCTTTATTTGTAATCATGGAAGCAAGGGTACAAAATTCTGTCCACAACCATGTCTGTTATATTTTCGAAGAAGTTAGTCAGATAAATAGAACAAAAAAAATCTCAGCAAAGGCAAAATATCTATGATGCAGAACAAACATAATAATTGTTCACTTAATGTCTGATAAGAATAAAATAATTAAATTACTATAGTTATATATATGTTATGGGGGAAAGTGTGGCTAATTTTTTTTTTTTACTTACCCTTGTGTGTGTGTGTTTTAAATAAATAAAGGAAATAACCATTTTTTAAAATTTTAAACTGGTTTCAATTCCAAAACACTATCTTACAATTTTTGAAAGCTAGAACAAAAAACCTTGAGATTGCTTTATGATCGAAGTAGTTGCATACCTCTACTTGTGATTGATTGTTGTATGCACCCCACCCCCAGCAATTAAAATGCAGATTTACAAGACAGGTTGACACTCTTCAAGTGGACAATTTTTCCTACCTCTATACATTTCATTTCTTTAATCCTGTATTGGACTAAGCTAAACTCCCTACATATTAACAACAGTGAACATCGTATTTTCATTTTGTCTTTTTCTTCTTCATTAACACCTGTAGACCAGTTATTTTTAGAAAGAAAGAAAGAAAAAAACAACTGAAATTCTGTAATGCTTTTAACTTCCCAGAATTCTGCTACAATGTGATGAGCAACAGAATTGTCAAGTGCTTCTTTGCAAGATCTTTGTCCCTTTAACAACCAGCCCAATGCAAAAGTTGAGCAAGTCGCAATCAGAGATCTTTCTCTCTTTCCCTCTCTCTCCTCTTACCTGTTAGCTTAGGCAGAATTACCTTCTCCACTATACTTGGTATCAGTTTCACATTATCTTCATCTTCTGCTGCAGATATCACATATTCTCGAAAACCATAAAATGCACAACATTCATACCACCGACAGTCTTCAAAATCTTTGGCATATTCCTGAAGGAAAAAGAAAATTTGCATAAGTGATCAGAGTTAGAATCTAAAATTAATAAAGTTGGGATTTCAAATGTTAATTTTCAAAGCCCTGTCCATTTTGGAAGATTAGCACAAAAAAAACAAAAAACAAAAAACCAAAAAAAAAAAAAAAAAACAACCCCCCCCCCAAAAAAAACTTCTTTTTTATCCTCTCATGTTTCCTTCAAGCTAGGTTTGTATTCAACTAAATGAAAACTGCTCCAAAAGTAATACCTCCTATTTTATTTAATCATTTCACCCAGAGAAGGCAATAAAGTCCCTAAGATGCAAAGGGGTTACTGAGATTGAAAGAAACTGAGAAAATGTTATCGAGTAGAATAGACAATAAAAGACCAGCTTTCAAAGAGAGAGAAAATGATGACTGACATTGCATTGAAATTTTTCAAGATTGTATTTGACGAGAAAGCAACAAGCGGGAAGAATTAACTACTAGAGAGAAATAACCACTAGAATAAAACTTACAATCACATCTCTCAATGTCAACAGTAAAAAGATGAGACCTAGCTGCCAATCTAGTACTGTGTTTAAATTCACAAATTTGAGAAACCAAAGAGGAATACTCATCAGCAAAATTGCCATGAAAATATTTATAGAAAATGTGCAGGAAGGCTACATACGGAGAGATGGGAAGGTGCCTGAAACCAAGATGCCAGGTCAGGACTGATAACATTGTAAATTCTTCTCTGGATTTTATCAATAATCTCTAGATACATAGCACGAAAACTGCATCAAGTGTGGCTGCAACATTCAATGCACAGATGAATGGTAGACTTCCATAGAAATGACAACATATGTGCAATATTCTATTGAATGTGTGGACAGATATTTACTTGCAGCATCTTTTTTTTTTTTTAATATTTTAAAATATTATTCCAATAATACTGAAAACCTTGATTCTTATTTATCTTAGAGTTAGTTCCATGTATTTTCTAATAGCAAATGGTTTTAGATAAATGCTTATAAGTCTTAAAAGAAGAACCTTACCTGCAGTGGATTCCAGTCGATTAATTCCAGTCGAATAAATGGATTAAAGAGTTTCGGAAGGCAGAGACCAATGTAGGCTTCTTTGTAAGATTCTGAATTTTCACCCTTCCATTTCTCAAAATGTAATCGGATATTTTCTAACTCGCAGAAATCTTCCTCAACATCATCAAACAATCTTTGACGGATTCTTAAGATTTCAGCTGCAAGACAAAAAAAAAAAAAAAAAAAAAAAAAAACCTTGAACATTTTTGAAATTTTGGGCTGGTTTGAAATGCACAACTGTCTCGCTGGAATTTGCACCCGCCACCCCAGGCCCCAGCTTGCTAGGATTTGCCTAAAGCAGTTTGTATGTATTTTTAGAATATACAATAGCTTAATTCTGTCTGCTGACATTTTTTTTTTTTTTTTTTAATGCAGTAACGCCACTAAAACACAAGGGGTTACAGGATGTGGAAGAATTAGATGATGAGCAGAAAGAGAAGAGAGTAATCAGGAGGACAATAGATAGCAATTAATATTGCATTTAAATTTTTGCAGATTAATGTTGGCTGGAAATGTAGGAAAAAGAAGAGAGAAAAATGTAACGAGAGGGTTTGCCGGCAAACCAGCTGTTATTCTTCGCCGTTGGTTGCCTCAAAGAAATGAATTGCGAGACTCCTTTTCTCAGCCGTTACACTGGGCAGCCGTGAAACCGACACCCAAATCAAACGCGCCTACTTCAACCGCCTCTTGGTCTGCCAGTCTATTTGTACGTCCGACTGTTTCACGAAGTCTGCCGAATGACTCGCCGTCTGCCGTGCTACTGGTGCCTCGCCTTTTTTATGCTAGTCTGACACTGCTGAAATTTGCATGTGTACTGGTACAATCTCGTTTTGGACGAGACTGGCGTGTATAAATCCGGTCTTCGACAGTAGCCATGTTTTCTTTGGGATTTATCATGCAAACAAGACACGTTTGCACACGTTTCGAGCTCTGAGGTAACTCATCACAAGAAAGCATGGAGTTGGGAGTTCCACAAGCGAGAAGTGCAAGAGAAGAAACTGTCAGCATAGAATTTACGGCCACATCTAGCCAGCTCAACTGTAAATTTATAAGATCTCAATGTCAGTTTAGTGCTGCGTTAAATTCAAAAACTATACCATAGTGAAGAGCTCATCTGAACAATTACCATGAGAGTATTTATAGAAAGAACGGAGGGACAACCTTATGGCGGTGGGAAAGTGACTGGAACTGAGCTGCCAGATCAGGACCAATAATATTACACATTCTTTTATGGATCTTATCATGGTAAACAGCAGGGGCACCAGACCATATGTGTATGTAGCAGCAATATTCTAAGCATGGACGAATGGTAGACTAATAGATATGTAAGACCTGAATGCCAAAGGCTTTCAAGATGTCAAATGCTGCAGTCTGGACTTCACTATTTTTATCTAGAGCATGATAGACTCTTTCTTCAATTGTCGTCAGTAGATCAGCAGTAGAGCTGGAGAAACGAAAGCCATATTGCTTGTCTGAGAAAAGGCCCTGAAACAAGAGATGATGAACCAAGGAAATGGGGAGGAAGGGGGGGGGAAGAAAAAAGGAAAAAGAAAAAAGAAAAAAAAGGGGGAAAAAAAAAAAAAAAAAAAGAGAGAAGAAATCTTACCATATTCCGAATTGAATTTTGTTATATCCGACTGATTCTCTTCTTCATCAGATGATAATCCTTCATGGTGGCCAGAAATATCTTTGTTTTCTCGAGCTCTTCTTCTTCGAGACCTGAAGACAAAGATAACCCCCAGGAGTTTTATTATTAATTGCATTTTTAGAAAGTGTGTTATTCTTTTCCAACTGCATATGAGACACCAAAACCTTTTTAATATTTACATTTACTATTGATATTATGAAATTTGGTAACACAGTATTTGCCAGATCAATTCTTGGGCCGGTTAATGCCAGTTAAGATTCAATGGAAACAGAACTAGCAATAACTGAGATCAAGACAAGATATGGACAGCTGAACATGCACAATATACACTACAGATTAAATAAAGTGTTTGGTTCAAGATTCCCTGGCAGATACCTGAAGAAGACCAGAGGACACAACAACCGAAATGTTGTGATAATAACAACAAAGACGAGGACATTAGTCCAAATTAGTAATAAGTACTGGTCATCTATGTACACATTACTCTACCAGATACTTCAACTTTGTATTCAAGACCCAGTAGATAAGTTTTTGAGCAAAAAAATGTGGGGTACTTATATATCATCAAATATGACAAGTGCTTTCCAAAATGTGTTCTGTGAAACTTAATGTGTTTAACTATTTTTCAGATTAGTGTCTTGCTTATTGTTTGTTTAGTTTATTGTAATGTTTCAATCCATACATTTTTCAGCCTTCTTCAGGGAGTAGGTTGCTTCTAGTAGTCTTAAGATGTTACCAGGTAAGCATTACAATTATTGAACCAAATAGCGTTCTTGTTTAGAATATGAGAAAAAGTAATACTTTGGTTCAAGACATTGGCACTGTGTTTTTTTTGGGTTTTTTTTTTATATAGCAGCATGGCTAGACTATTTCAAGGTTAAAGATTGTTTTCTGATAATGATAGCTAATAATCTATAGGTGGCTTATTAACACTGACAAGGTAGCAGATGACTTGCTGTCCAAAATCTTAAGGCCAATGAAAATAAATATAATAATAATAAAAAAAAAAAAAAAAAAAAAATCACCCTCTTGTGTACACCATTTACATTATTTGGACTATTGTCCTCATCTTTGTTGCCATATTTTTTTTTTTACAAAGTTTCGGCCATTGTATGCTCTGGCCTTCTTCAGGTGGTTAATATGTCGAACTGAACCCTTTATTTCGTTCACTGGAGTAGACTGTTCTAGTTTCATGTACCATGTTTAATGGATGTCAGTTATCAGTTATCTCCTGTTAATTCCCCTCTGAAAGTTCTCCACTGCCTGAACTGGGTATTGAACTCACACTCTTTGGGTCCTGTAACTGGATCTAACCTACGTCTTTATCCACTGTGCCATGTGTCCTTGAGGCGACAAAAATGAGGACAATAGTCTGAATAACGTAAATAGTGTAAATCATACCTCATCTCAGAAATATAGGCAGATACCTCTTGTGTAGTTAGACTGAACTACTTATTTCAGTAGAGCTTCAAAAAAAAATGAAAATAAGGAAAGGAAAAACAAATATTTGAAATTTTTTTTTAACATTTAGTAGGGAAAATTTAAATACTGAGGTTTAGGCTGGGTGAACACACTGGAGGGTCCAAAAGAATCATTATTAGTCAGGAAAAAGTCCTTTGCCCTGCATGCATTATGGATTGCAGCACTCTCCTGCTGAAAGATCCAGTCATTTTGGCACAACTGATGGCTTTCAATCAATAAGGTTGCTCTCCAACATGCCAATGTAATCAGCTGCAGTTTGGTACCCCTGTGTCACCTGAAATTCAATTGTCCCTTGGAAGGACATAGCACTCCAGATCATGACGGATCCTCCTCCACTGTGTTGTGTAGAAAATGTCTGGTTAGATATGCTTATAATGCCAGTAACTTTGGAAGCCATAAGGACCATCTAGGTTAAATTTTATCTTATCAGAGAACAAAACCCACTTTTCTATGTCCCATTTATCAACAAAGTTTAACTGAGCTGTTTTGTGGTGTGGAAGGAGGTGTAGACTTTGAAAATATTTACCGTTTTAAAAACCTTTCTCTCAGAGATGCTGTCTTATTGTTCTTAAGCAGCATTCTACATACATAAGGGCCTTATGATCAGTCAGTTTGTTTTGTTTTACAGCATATCAAGCTCAATGGGTTATTTAATGCTGACAAGATTTTTATCGCTGCTAATATTTTTTTTTTTTCTTCCAAAAATGTATTGCTGGTAATAATTTAAAAAAATGTATTGCTGGTATTAAAACTTATTTTTACACTTACAGAGTGTTTTGACCCCAGTTTGGGGGTTAACTATATGCCCATAGCTGTGACCCTAACAGGTGCTATCACCTGGGTCAGGCCAGACATGGGAAGACCAGCAATTAAGAGGTGGTTCCATGCTCCTCAATACCTCCCAATCAGAGACCTTAATATCGGATGTAGTTTATTGTCTTACTCAGGACAGATAATTGGCTGGTGTCTTGCCAGACAACCTATCAAATCCACCTGCTTAATGCTGGTGAAATTTTCTTGGGCTAACCACTTAAAATTCTCATTCCATATTCCTCAGGGTCTTTTAAGAAATTTGCGACTGCAGTTTTACTATGTCTAATCTAACCAGCGATGACACGTTGAGAGTGATCTTACTTTTGCAGCATGACAATTCTGTCGTGTTCAAACTGTCAACTTTTTAGCCTTTGTCATGATTTTACTTAATGTAATGCAGGAGATACCAGTGGGAGGTGTTGACTGTGCTAACACTTAAACACAAATGATTAAATTTCATTGTGCTTACCAATTTAAGCTTCGTTTAAATATGGTCTTAAACTTTTAAACAGCCTAATTGCCCAATATTCAAATTTTCCCCATTAAATGCTAAAAAAGTTTAAAACCCTTTTAGTTCATCAGGGTAGATAATTCTAGTTTCACGTAATATGCCTTTTCTAGATATCTTAGTTTCAGTTATTTCCCTTTAGTAACACATCTCTCCACGTTTTTGTTCACCTTTTGTGGCCAGGTATTGAACTCACAAGTCTTCGAAATCAGGCTGACTGTGAGCAAATTAAAAACATTTCAGGCCGGATCCAGACCCATATTCCTGAAATTTTAGATTCTCAAGTTTTTGATTTTTTTTATGCGATTTTTAGCAATTAATTTTTTTTTATACAATAATTTTTATAACTTGGAAATAATAAAGATTGTGAAATTTAGTGAAAGTTACCAATGAAATAAAAATAAATGTTTGTATGGAAAGTAAGGATCTACATACATCAAATTGTCTTTAAATTAAGTGGCAGCAGCAGAATTATCATTGAACTTAAATATTAATACAATACTTAAATGCAGCAATCGATTTTGAGTTCTTCTATAGCATATTGCATCTACCCCTCCCTACTTATTGTGATAAAGGTCCAATCAAGAGCCCTCCATAGGAGCTAGCTTAAATGCCACTCAATAGGGTGGCTTTTAAGCTAGTAAGCTTATGTTTTGATGTTTTATTTATTGACATGAATAGTCCAAAATTAATTCCAGGTGACATTCCTCTCCTTCCAATCCCAGGTTTCCTCAATTCTTTCTGCTATTTAGAATTGTCATCCAGTAATTTTTTTTTCACAATCATAATTTTACAGTGTTAATTATAATGAATGTATAAATTAAATGTATAAAATACTGGAAAAATTAAAATTTTTCAAACTATGCTCCATGATACATTCATTTCAAACATTAGTTTGGAGTCCTCCAACAGGCTCAAATTCCTTCCATTTGCAAATCACTGGTTAAGAATTTCCAATGCTAAACGGAACCATTAAAGGACTTGTATGTTGCAAAGTAACTTGTATTTTAGAGAAGTATAGGACAATGGAAAGCATTATGCACACAATAAGTACACTATAGGCCAAAAGTTTTGGAAACTTTGCTGGATTTTGAAAAATCACCTAAAAATTGAAGGCTGCAGTTTTTATTCAAAACTAATTTACTAGCACACTTTGGAAGAGAGGAACCTTGTCTCCTTGAAGGGTTTTACATACTGAATAATAATAGATTAACCCATTACCGCATAAAGTTCCCTTAAAATTTTACCTCTTTTTGCCTATCTTGCTGGCTAATGGTAATCTTAGAGCTGGCAGGTTTTAAATTTTAGGTAACTCCTAACAAAAAAAAAAAAAAAGTAAACCACACACTAATGGGTTAAATGAACATCCTGATTTAGGAGGAGTTAATTAAATGAAAGAAGGCATTAAACTTATTAAATCCTGATGATAGCCACAAATGTTTGGCTTATAGATAAGAGATTTTTTTTTTAAACAAAATTATAACTTTTATGGCTGGTCCTTAGAGAAAGTATGAGAATGATGCAGTGAATGATTGTTCTTACCGTCGGGCTTCCCTCTCAGCCACCCTCCTCTGTTTTGCTTCAGCAGCATCAATAACCACTTTAGCCTTATCTGTAGAAAGAAAAAGATGAAGAGAACAATAAACACAACTGGAGCAACTCTCAAAATAAAGGTGGGCACCAAAAATACATGGGGGGGGGGATTTGCTTTCAATTGATCAAACAAAACACAAGAGATAAATAGAATATTAAAAAAAAAAAAAAAAAAAAAACCCCAAAAAACAAGGCAATTTAAAATTTATCAGCATCTTTGAATGGCTTTGAGGAACCAAGTCTTTTGAATCATTAAAATGTCACCTGTGTGGATTGCTTCAGTTAGTATTAGAAAATTCTTCAGTCTTCTTTTTTTTAACTAAAATGCTTCTTTGCTTTATGGCTGAAATTGAAATCCAGATCCTCTGAATAAATGAGACACTTACTTGTATTGATCAAAGAGATTTGATTATAAGTGTTCGAAAAATATTTCATATATGTATGCAAGTTTGGCTGAAAACCAACAAAAATTGTATTTTTTATATTTAAATTTTTCTACTTTCCAGAGAGAAAGTGAACAAAAATTGTTCAATGTATTGTATATTTTCAGCTTTCATAAAATAGTTTTTTTTTTTTAACATGCATTGATAGGAATACAAACAAGTAGTAATGCCCAGTGCTGTGCAGTTTCTGCTGTGTTATGCAATTGATTCTTGTTAGACTTTTGTGTATGCTGTAAAATGGTATCAGTAAAATTGTTGTAAACAAAGCTGTTGAATAGGTTTAAATATTTTGGTTGCTATGTATTTCATGTAAAGCATGTTATAAGTTGTAAGATTTTTTACATTTTTTAAAATATAACTATTTGAATATGACAACATTGCTTACCTCCCTTTACTCCCAACCTGTGGCTGAAATACTGAGGTAGTTACAGCTTTTCAGACAGAAACTGACTTTACTTGAATAACTAAGAAAACTAGTTGTAAAGGCCATCAATAAAACTATCGCTTATAAATAATCAAAGATCACAAAAAACTAGATTGGAAATGAATAACAAAACTATTTTTTAAAATTTGTGTTTTTGATTATAACTGATTCGTTTTCTACTGCTTTGCAGATTGTTTAAAACCACAAAATATTTTTAGATTGTGAGAATTTTTTTTGTTTTTGGATGTAATAATGATTTAGTGATACAAGTCTTACTGATTAACGTATAGCTGGGGTGGGGAGAGGAGAAGAGGCAGGTTCATGCCTTTCCCAAGAGTATTCGTGCTTAAGTGAATATAATGAATGTCTGGAAATGGAACTCGGCTCTCCGATTAACAATTCCAGGCTATTATGCGTTTCAGCATTCGCACATCCAAGCTTACAGCAGCTGGTATTTCTCAAGCGGTTACCCATCTAGGTACTGAACAGACTATGATGGTTAACTTCGGTGATTGTATAGTAACCAGTGTTTCAACATGATATGGCCATAAACCAAAATTGTTTTTTTAAAGTTAAATATGCAAATTAACTATCTCTATAAAAGAGAAACCACAAAGTTGGGTAAGGTAGAAGACATTCTGGAAGATATAAATGATACACTGCATTTATTTAACATCATGGTTGTATGTAATATTTACATGAACATACAACTTTATAAATTTAATTAATATTCAGGATATTGAATGGAGACGAGCATAATTTGAGCTTTTATATTAGAGTTTGTGTGGCTTTTGCATTCAGATCTGCCTTATGATTACAAAAGTCAATGTGATGATGATGATTAGATAAGGTTTGTCTGGAACATATTCAAGCATCTTGAATATCCTGAAAACGGGTTGTGAAACTTTGATGCTACTTGGTAACCTTATTGCACATGCATGAAGAGTCACTCTCCTTTAGAGATATTTAGCAGTGTGTCGCCACTAGGTGAGTTCGTGTACTGTGTGACAGCTGCATTTATAATGATCAAACAAGAATATCTCAAACAGGATGTTTTGCACCCACACCTACATCGAGCCAAGACTTCTTTCTCCCCTACTGCCAAAGTTAAAAATTGTGGTTGAAATACTATGGATATAATTTAACAATCCCATAAGAGGACAGTATAAACTGTTTCTAAAAATCAAAGAGATGGTAGGAAAAGTTTAAGGTTCAAAGAAATGTACTTTTGAAGAGGACTAATTTACCACTGTTTGAGGTAGGCTATTTATTTTTTTCTTTGTTAATATTTAATAGTGAGATACTTTCCAGAAAGATCTTATACATAAATGCTACAGAAGCAAGAAAAAAATTATCATGTTTAATCTTTCAAGAAAGATAAGACAAATTACTATATTCAGAGTTAAAAGGTAAATGAGCAGCCATAAGGTCTAAAGTTAAAAGACAGATTGATAAAAATAAGATTACGTTTGTTGTTGCCATAACTTATCAAATATGAAAGAACTTATTTTCTTTGTTTAATATCTGGAAAATGTTATCCAAAACTGCAAAAATCATCCTAACATGAAATCAGTACTTATGAAACTTTAGATATAGGATGTTCTGATAACACAACAGCATAGAAAGTGGAATCGGCTAATTGAATTCAAATTCTAGGCTAGTCTGTTGCATTCTTTTTTCATACTAATGCCATTGGCAAAGGCATCTCTTCTACCCTCACTTATGGGATTAAAAAGCAGGGTTGAGTGGTTTCTCTATCTCTATGTGGCAACCAGTCTAGGAGATGGATAACTCTGAATTCAAAACCACAGTGAAGGCAACAATAAACCACTCCAGTCTTTTTCTCAAGAAGTCAAAGTAATTCACAGATAATAAAAGGAATATGTGAAAAGCCATGATGAAGTACATCCTGAAGGGAGATCACATCAGAAAAAAAGAGAAACAAAGTTGCTCAAAGAAGAGAATGAAAACTTGTACGCAAAGGATTTATGCGAGTACATTTTCCCAAATTCTGTTGAATATTTTTATAGAATACTGAAAACTGGAAAAAGAAGTGCTTAAGAATAAAAAAAAAAAGTAAATTTTTTAAATAGTTGTTGAAAGAAATGTTCAAATTTTAAATCTGAGTTGCTGAGGAATGAACGCTTTTCATTGATTGACAATTTAAATTCTTTAAGAAATACTGAAAAGTAAAGAAAAATCTATATCACTGGTTTGAAATTGATTCACATTAGGATGGCATATATAAAAAAAAAAAAAAAAAATGGAAGTTATAAAAAGAATAATTGTTTTGTACAATGCTTATCATGATTCATGTTCCTACCCAGTCTTCTGAATGGTAGTATCATCCCTTGTTTACCCCATTTAGGAAACATTTAGGTTTCTATACTCTTTATACTAACATAAATCCACACAGTAACCCTCTAGCTTGAGTGGCTCTTGGGCCTTGTATTGGGTGAATATTAGTAATAAAAGAAAAATAAATAAAAAAAAAAAAAAAAAAAAAAAAAAGAAAAAAGGTCAAGATCAATGGTAAACCCATCATCATTCACAGTTGTCATTCCTTCTGTCAAAATTGAAAAACAGAAGAAAATGGAAATGATTTCATGTGTAAAAGACAGATTAATGATAGTGAAGTAGATTCACAACACAGGAGCCCATCATTCATGGACTTGTGTTTTTTTTTTCTTCTATTTATGATCTCTCTCTCTCATATCATCTGAATATGGCTTCCAACACCTCTAAAGGCTTTGAAGACAGATTACTTGGTTATGATTTGTCATTGAAAAAGATACCAATTCTTTTATCAGGATAATCTTTCATACATTTTATGTCAGAAAGGTCTTAAAGAGAAAAGTTTGGAAAATAACATACAATATATGTCTATATTACTTCAAACATCATTTTTTTTTAGTGGATGTCCATTTTTTTTTTTTTTTTTAAATTTTAAACAGTGTGTCTTTATTGGCCTGCTCATTTGAGGAAACTTAAAAGAAAATGTGCTTAAGTTTTCTTAATATACACTACTTGGAAAAAAGAAAAAGGGGCATCTGTTTCTGTTGTGGAAACACCCCCACAAGATGAACTGGTCTAAGATAATTTAAACAGATCTCTCTCTTACTGAGCAAGAGGAGTTAATGATTAACTGCTTATTACATTTCTATGTGTTCTCAACTGCGTACCATAACATTTTCCAGAATAAAATACTTATTTTCTATATATGTGGCAACCTTTCTTATTTACAACATTTGGCAATGAGGATTTTGAATATTAAAATTTCCAGCAGGACAAAACATTTGACATTGAAAATTTCAAGTGTAATATCAACACTGACCGAGGAATTTGGTTTAAAGAAATTTACAGTCATATACCAAGAAATTGTTGGCGACTACTCAACCTCAGATTAAGTCCAAGTCTGCATACCAGATTGATGTGTTAAAAACAAGTAAGAATTTTATTTGTTCAGTATATTTTTATAGGGGAATAAACTACTTCGTATTTTCTATATGTGTGTGTCAACCTTTCCTATTTATGACAATTTCAAACATGGATATCCACTAAAAATAATTATTTGCAGTAATAAAAATGTTGGATTATAAATAAACCCATTAATGAGACAAAGTGGAAAAGCTGTCCAGACACCACCTTTCATCTCTTTATGGCAGTCTTCTTCAGGTTGGCATGAGACAAATTCATGTGTAAGCATAGGGATTTTGAGGAAGAGGTAATAAATATCTTAATCAGATGCTATGGTCAGAAAGGTATTTTTTTTTCTCTCATCTTAGATTGAAGAAAGTCTTCTGGATTTGAACCCTATCCCACTCTGTGTAAATCTCTGCTTTTTTTTTTCTTTCTTAGTTCATATACCACATTGTGTTATGTTTTTCCACTTTGTCACATTATCTTCACTTTTAACTGGATACTATTCTAATCCCTTTCACTGCAGGCAAAACTTCACAAGCCCCTGGCTACTCTATTGCTATTTCCATAGCACGTATTCTGAGGAGCTACATTCCTTGGTTCCACTAGCCCTGACTTTTGCACCTGTGACCTGTCATGTGTACAAGGAGGACGCATCCCCATTCCTTTCATACTCCATTAGTAATAAGTAAGTTCCACTCAGACAGCTTCTTCCTAAGAACTGCTGCTTTG